GTAGTAGTAGTAGTAGTAGTAGTAGTAGTAGTAGTAGTAGTAGTAGTAGTAGTAGTAGTAGTAGTAGTAGTAGTAGTAGTAGTAGTAGTAGTAGTAGTAACAGCCACAGCAGTAGTAGTCATTACTGTTGTTGTCGTTTCAGCCACACTCGTGAACGTAGGGCAGTTAAGATCAAAACCTAGTCTTCTCGAACAGAAACAAAAAATCTCGGACGTCCTGTGTGCAAGTTGTGCACGTTAAAATTCTTAACTCTCTCCCTATACCATCGGGTACATAGTGCAGAGCAGCTGACCCCCTCTTCCAATCTTGGCACATCTAGCTTTGTGTGATTATGTCATCCCTGATTGTAACTGCCTGTTGGTTTACCTCTTTTTCTTTTTCCAATTGGTCTCCAATACCCTGTCTAATATGGAAGGCTTGTCTCAACATTAATTTTGGAAATGTTTTAGTTTTCTATAAATAAATTGAATATTTATTATTCATTAGTCAGTACCGCAAAACTAATTCTTACCAAAACTAAAAATACTTTAGTCAGTATAAAAGATATAGAGTACAAGTCCCTACGAGATCGGTATATGGCTGCCTTATGGTAAGGAGTCCTACGTTGTGTGCAAACGTAAAAACGTAGCCGCATGTGTAAAAATACATTTCAACGCAGGTTTTAAGAACCAGCAGTCGACTACACGTGACATTTAGCATGGGAACTTTCAGAAGAAATATTTTACCTCAGAATATAATAGATTGTATTTTTATTATAGTTACTTAATGTAATTTCCCCTTTTCTTTTTCCTGTACAGGTACCAATATCAGGTCCAACAAACCGATATCGGTATTGAGTGGTGGCCGGTTGACTCGTTTCATGAATGATTTCACTAGTGACGGCGTCATAGAGCAGATGCCACCCTTATCCACTTGGGGGAAAGACTTTTTGGCTGTTCTGTCGCCACTGGCAAGTGTTTATGTCACTAAGTTTATTCACATGTTATGAGTATCTATGTTACAATACAAGGTGTGCCTATGAAATGAATTATTTATCATAATCCAAGAATAGAGATATCGGCGTAAAATCGACTCTGCGGTCAGATTTATAGATTTTCTATTGACGCCCTTTGGTTTAAGTCTGCTGTGTCTTTTATCTTTCCATACTTACAAATTGTACAAACTCCACCTAAAAACTTGATATATCAATTTCTATAGAGCTAAAATCCTAGAAGTATCTCATTTTGTCAGCATACACACACACACACACACACACACACACACACACACACACACACACACACACACATACACAAATTTAACCAAGTGGCCACATGTCCCACATGCAAATTAATGTTTTGTATCTTAATTCCGTTGAAATAATGAAATCATCTAACTTGTGTTTAGATCAACACATTAGCGACTTCGCTTTTAAAATGTGTGACGTTAAAAATGTTAATGAGTATAATA